TACAAAATACAGCAGAATTAAGCTACTATTTCACGCTAGTATTCTGTGAAAGTGCGGTCCTTCCCCGGTCGAGCCGACCCATTCGTGCTACAACTATACTACTAACATAACTGCAGCCTGGCTCTACCACGTATAATTTTTTTATTTTTTTATATATAGCGACACTAACGGACAGCAATTCATTTTTATATATAAAGAGATAAACACATGAAATTAAAAAAAAAATTAAGTGTTATTATGATGTAAGCATTGGGGCCGTTGAGTTACTTCAATACCAGTTGGCCGACATTGAACGTCCCCAATGTTATAGTTTCTCACACAAGCATCCTTGTCACAATAGGATCACAAACACGTGGTAAACCATAAATAGCAGTTATAATATTTTTTGCAGAAGCCAAGCACTAATATTTAAGAATAGCTCTTGTCTCAGTTGAGCAAATAATAATTCATAACTTAATACCTGTCACATGTAGAAAAATCTCAATAGTATAATATCACAAGGCAAAATATATCCGTTAAATCGTAGACCACGTTTACGATTTACGCTGCAAAGTATGTCAAAAGTGTTATCTAAATCCTTTGCTAGTAAAACGTGACTACAGAGATATTCAGGAAAAAATTCAGGACACGATTCAAGTGAATTTGCTCCACATCCGTACATATTTTATCTTTACATCCGTAAAGATGAGCTAATCCGATATCTAAAGAAAACCAAGCACTTAAGATAAAGTATTATAAGATACTTTTAAAGATCTATTATATAACTTGCTGTGCCCGCGACTTTGTTCGCATAGTCTTTGTTGGTAAATAATTTTGAAGTTTTATTACTTTGGACTTAATAGATTTTTCCCTTTCAAAACGAGGTTCACCAATAAACACCTAATATGCTGGATTCAGCTACGACTGCAATCTCTAGTATATTTATTCATAATCTATGGACTTCAAATGATTATGCTAATGATAAAGCTAACTGTAAGAGCTTCGATTACAGTGTTTGTAGCTTTTAGCTATTTAAGTGTATAATCTGTTGCAGCCGCTACCCTGCTCAATGTAAGACGCTGTATCGTACATACAAATATCCGTGACATGACACACACGGTACGACTCTTCAACGAACTAGTAAGTAATGTCTTATGGATTTTCTATTGTATTAAGAGTGGTTAGAGCAAATTAGTACATTTTGTAATTATTTTTTTACGACCCAAGTCTCTGCCTTCTGACACCGTTTGTGTGGCATGTCTGTCAGTCTTATGATATTTTATAGGCATAAGGGTTTTAAACAAGCGCATATTCCACCTGATGATAAAAGGATGCTCTCTCCCATTGATACCGACAGTTGTCGTTACAAAAGGATGTCGGTATAACAGTTATAATCTATGCATTAACAATAAAAACGCACGCACTTGCCTCAGGTGAATTCTCCGGTTCTCGTCAATCTAATATACTTGTATTGGGTATGTTTCCCGTAACAGAAGAAAGGACTAAGCGGCTTAATTTATACACAGTATAATTTTTGTCACCAAGTGTTCCCACCGCTATGTTAAGATAATGTTTAAAGACATTTATTCTCATAAAGACATTTTATACGCCACTTACATGAGAACATAAATAAAAGTAAATCTAACTAACAAAATTCATTGTCGTACCTATGTTGTTGAAAAATAAATAACATCAAAAACAGCTATTGACGGGAAAAAGCTATACAAATAAAAGAAAAGTTAAATTCTACTATACACTATCACCTTATCACCACAATAATAACCAGGAACAAACCAGTCCAACGCACTCAGATAGATATGTTTGTGATTATATGATTTGCTAGTCGCTTTTTGAATACATTGAACGAGTCTACATTTTTTATTTCCGAGGGTATCTTATTAAAAAGGCGCGAACCTTCGCATGTAAGGTCTGGCCGTACTTTGTTCGAATTTTAAGCAAAACAATGAAGCTTGCGCGTCGAGTGCAGATGCGCCCAACTTTTTTTCGCTTGGCGAATTGCAGATCCGTGCGGACCTTCTTGTTCATGGATTTGCGAATAAAGATACATGTGCTGTAAATATATAATTCTTTGATATTCATCAGATTCGTCTCTCGGAAAATTTTTGAAGTTGACGTTCGGAAATTGTAGTTGAATAGCATTTTTATGATTTTATTTTGTAGGATTTGTAATTTGTTTAATCTAGTACTGGCAGCGCTTCCCCAGACCTCGATGAGATATAACAGGTATGGTTTAACTAGGGCATTATATATTGTGAAACGTAGTTTCTGTGGTATGTATCGAAAATTAATGCGAAGTAAGGCGTGAAGTGACATTAATTTGGTTATTAAATATTTAATGTGAACTTTCCATGTTAAATAGGTATCCAAATGAAGGCCAAGATATTTTTCATTAGTTTCTTCTTGCAATGGTTTATTGTTTATTTTAAGAGGTGTGAAATTAGGTATAGGTTTATTTTTTGCTTTAAATATTATGTAGCTAGTTTTGGAAATGTTGATAGTTAATAAATTGTTTTGTAACCAATCGTGAAGAATGTCAAGGTCCTGCTGGGCTTGAGAGACAAGATCATGAATTGAAGGGCCAAAGTAAAAAAGGCAAGTGTCATCAGCGTAAAGTGTGATATTGCCATTCAAGCCCAACTCATGCATATTGTTAATATAGACTAAAAAGAGCAGAGGACCCAATATTGAACCTTGTGGAACTCCATAGGTTATGGGTTGTGGGGGACTTTGAGTGCTATTGCCTATTTTAACGACCTGGGATCTATTCGTGAGGTAAGACTCAAACATTTTTAAGGCTGTGCCAGTAATACCAATGACTTCCAGTTTTTTTTAAGAGCAGTTTATGACTTACGGTGTCAAATGCCTTTTTCAAATCGATGAATACTCCTAGTACGATGTTTTTTTTATCAATGTTTTGTTTGATTTTAGTTACCAGATCAATTGTAGCTGTGAGTGTATTACTTTTAGAACGAAATCCGTACTGTCTTTCAAAAAAGAAATCTATAGAATCTAAGTAGTTTTGTAGCCGTGTATGTAAGACTTTTTCGAGAATTTTTGATAATACTGGCAGTACGGAAATTGGTCGATAGTTGCCCGGTTCTGTTTTTGGTCCCGATTTGTAAATAGGTGTTACTTTGGCTATTTTAAGTGAGTCTGGAAATGATCCGTTTTGTAAAAGTTTGTTAAAGTTTTTCGTTAATGAACTTATTATTAAGTCCTTCACACACTTGATAACCTTTGTACTAATACCATCTAGACCGACACTACTGTTTGAATCAAGTTTGTTAATAATATTAAGAATTTCTTCTTCAGTGCATGGGTCTAAATTATTCATTTGCAAATTTTGTAAAAGTGGTTTTGGTAGTGCGTGAGTATAATTTACATGGAACTGAATAGGTATTTCGTCAGCTAAATATGGCCCTATAGTAGCGAAAAAGTTATTAAATATATTGCATATCTCATGAGGATCAGTAATTTCTATTGAATTAACAATAAGTTTAGGAGGAGCGCATCTTTGTTTAAATTTATTATTTGTTAGGGTATTGAGTAAATTCCATAGCTTTTTGGGTTTTCCACTGTATTTGTCGAATTCTTTCTTATAATATGACTTCTTTGTTTCCCGTATTAACTTGATTATTTTATGTCTTTTGGTGATAAACTTTTCTTTCAGGTCTTCTCTTTCTGGGTTGTTCTGTAGTTCTGTCCACATCAAGTTTCTTTCATTGATCTCTGTTATGATACTTTTGTTTATCCATTCTTTTTTGTGGTTCATTCATAATTTTGGTCTTTATTACTTTGCTTTCTTCCATACATTTTTTTATTAGTTTTTCCAGTCTTGTGAAGTCATCGTTGGATTCTTGTATTCCTGCTTTCTCCATTGATTTATGAAGTTCTTTATAATTTATTGCTTCGTATTGATAATATTTTCTTTTGTTTTCTTGATTTCCACGTAAAGCTGTCTATGATCAGAAAAAGATGAGTTGACATATACCATATGAAAGTTTTCTTCCTTTAAGTTGGTGCTTACATGATCTAGGATAGACTTTTTTGTATGTCCTTGTCTGGTGTAATATTTTTTTGTGATTTTATTTATGATCTTGTATCCAGTCTGTTTTAGCAGATGACTGTATCTTTTGGTCTCTGAATTTTTTGTGAGTAAGTCAACGTTAAAGTCACCAAAAACTATTGCTCTGCTTCTTTCTTGTAATTGTGATTCGTATACTTCAAGAAATTGCTTTAAATTAGTGTGTCCAGGATTATATACCACTCCTACTTCCAGTGCATATTTTTGTAGTTTTATCCACAGATAGTTATTGCCTCCTACATATTTTGACTCTGATAAACTGTGCTTCAGGTTATTGTGGACATAAGCAGATACCCCTCCTCCACCAGCATCTGTTCTGTAGTTATAATAATGAAAGTAATTCGGTAGTTGAAGTTGTAATGCTTGTTCCTCGTTGCGAATCCAAGTTTCAGTTATCAGTATGATGTGCACATTATTTGGTATGGCTTGTAATACACACTTGAGTTTATCGAGTTTTCCCACTTTACGTATACTTCGAGCGTTGAGGTAGAGAAAGGTAAAGCGTGATTTGTTGATTGTAACATTTTGGTAACTGTTTAATATTTCATAAGTGTTGTTTTGATACAAATGTATATTTCTGTGTTTACTGTGTGGAGTTTTTTGATGTTTTTATGATTAACGGTGTTCCATTAACATATTTAATTGTAAGGTTAGTCTCACCATTATCTTGTCGTCGCTTTAATTCTTCTCTTAATTTTCTCAAAAAGTTTTGTTGAGTTGGTGTTTGGTCTGAGAACATTTTTAGACCATCTTGTAGCTTACTTCTGTTGCGGAGTAGTATTTTGGCATGTTCTATTGTTTCGAATCACACCTTGATACTGCTGTTCTTGCCTGGTTGGAGTTTGCCGATCCTGAAAATTTTTGTCGGTTTTGGAATGCCTGCACTCACCGAGGATATAGTTTTGAATATCTCAGCTTAGTCTTTTGACAATCTGTCTTCAGGAGTAGACGCAATTTGTTCAGGTAAGCCTACAAGCACGATATTTTTTTCTCTATTTTTGCGTTGCTGAATCTCCTGTATAATTTGTTCGCCGAGTATCAACTCGTTTTCCAGCGTTATTGGTGCAGATTTTGAGGAAATTTTGAGTTTGTTTAAGTCTGATTCAAGTGATTCCATTTTTACTTGCATTGCGCTATGAGATCGCTCGTTTGTCAATTTAATATCAGCAATTTGGTTTTTTATATCAGTAATATTTTCTTGCATGGTTTTTAAAATCAGCTCATTAGACACGATGTATTTTTCTAATAGAGAACTACGACTTAGTTCAGATCTCATTCCCCCCTAATTCTTCAGAGCATGCACATTCGACACCAAAAGGCAATTTTCGTTTCCGAAATGTAATTGATGAATCCGACACTAAATCGCTCATTTTAGATATATCTGGTTGCGACCCTCCAGTTGGTGACCTCTGAACGCTCATATTGCTTACGTTATGTCGCCTCTACACGTTGGCCAACACAGTGGCGAATGGAGTGGCGAATATATTGGCCGAGAGTTGGTGACGGCGTCCACACGTTGGAAGGTCGTTCAGTTTACTTCGGTTCGGGCCAATGTGCGGACGAATTTACAATCACCGTGGCGCAGGGGCTCAGCAATGAGTGGCTGCGCCGGGCGCCGCGGGTTAAATCCCGCACGGAACAAGTATTTGTATGTCCTAAAAATAATTGTTTCGGGTCTGTATGTGTGTCCTTGTGCAATTTATGTTTGTAAACTGCCTGCGCGATACGGGAGAAAATCCTAGTGTGGGGTTAACGTTTCTATAAAAGAATTATAAAATAATAGTGGATATTAATGGGGTTGTAAATAGATATACGATATACGATTAGCTTTATTTATTCTTTACATGCATCGTAAATTGGAATAAATACCATTAATAAGAACTTAACTTATTTTAAAATTAAAGGAGTTATAATCGATTAGTCTATGTTTTAAAATTGGGTTTTGATTTTAAAGTTTAGCAAAATACGTACTTGCAGTTCTATCAGACATTTGATGTATTAAAACACCTTATAATTTATTTGGTAATTTAATTATTTTTTGAGAAAGACAAAAACAATAGCAATAAATATAATTAACACTGACTTAATAATAGGTACTAATTATAACTTAGAACATAAATGAAAAACTCATGACGAGCAAAGTGGCTCAGGACCATGCTTTGCGGCAGTCTGTGGAGGTGGATGTTCAGTAGTGGACTTGTGAACAGCTGTAATGATGATGATGATTCGAAATCTTGCACGATTAAATTATAAGAAATCGACGCTTTTTTATATAGGATAGGGTGATGAACGAGCACACAGTTCACCTGATGGTAAGTGGTTGCTGCGGCCCACAGACATCTACAACTATCTTCGATTACGAATCAAAATGCAGATGCGTTGTCACCCGTGAGGACTAAGATGAAATGCCTCTTTTCCTTTAAAAAGTGTCTCTGGTTCTCTACACTCACTATACGAAACACAGCATCATTAAGCTACTATTTTACATTGATATTCTGTGAGAGCGTGGTCCTTCCCCGGTCGAACCGACCCATTCGTGCTACAACTATACTTCTAATATAACTGCATGGTTCTACCACGTATAAACGACGTGCTTCATTTTTTTTTTTGATTTTAAAATTATTCTCGTAATAATCTGATTGCAAATAAATGTTCATTATTTTTTTTTATAAATAGCTTATCGATTAAAACAAATGTTTAAAAATAATTAAATCGCGCGAATTAAAGTAGTAGGAATGTTTAAAGTGGAAATTGGCACTAAAAGGCTGGTAATTGGGTCATCCACCCTACAAATCGTGAATATAAAATTTTAATCAGATGCGTGTAATCACTCTGGGAGCTTGTAGCAAACTAAACTCGCGGCCAACGTGTGGACGCGGCGACCAAACTCTGCCAACAATCCTTTGATCTTTTGTAAAAAACCGACACCACATGGATCTCGCGCCAACTTGCGGGCCATCGTTCCAATACATACCAATGAAGCCCAAACACCCCGTTTACACGTTCGCCAATGCTATTGGCCACTACATTCGCCACTGTGTTGGCCAACGTGTAGAGGCGCCGTTACGTTAACCGACACACCGATTCTACGTATTGAGTAAGCGAGTTAAAAAATAGCAACCGTACGTGTTTCGCGGAGGTGAAGACGGCTCACTGTTATTGTAGGGGTCCTCTTTGTTGATGCACAGGAGTGTAATGTCACATTAAACAAACAACTTTCACACAATTAAACGTTTTAAGTCTTCTTGGTTAAGGATGGAATTAGACTTGCACTGATTTAGAAAATATTTAGAATTTACTTGTACACGTCTACTCAGTACGACAACGAATACATATTACGACAACGAAGATTTAAAGGATATATTATTCGGTAGACTGTATGATGTTTTGTCACTCTTTAAAGTCTAAAGCTGTTATTCAGAAACATTTTCGACACTAAATTCAAACTACACAATGTCATAATTTGTGTAACATAATGTAGTTTTGATTTAAATTATGACGGATTAAAAAAATAAGAACGGGAAAAATGTTTGAAAAACTCGTTTTATTTTATTACGCGGCTCTTAGCTAATTGATTTTTTATACATCCTTAATATAATGGATTTCTACTTAACTCGTAATGAGTTATATCAAGCATGAATTTATTGATATGAGAATTTTAAACCTTCTCTACATAATATTAAAACAAGTCACTTCCCGCCGTCTGTACGCAGTCTGGCTGTACGGTTTTTTAAACTACGCAACGGATTTTGTTGCGGTTTTTATCAAAATAATTCAAAAGAAAGATTGATATAGATATATGTATATGCATCATTTGAGATTTATATGTATATATGTATATGTATATATATGCATATTATATATTATATAATTATTTTGTCCGTGTGTATGTGACGAAACTCCTCCTAAACGTCTCGACCTATTATGATGAAATTTAGTGTGTGTGATTAAGTTGATGTGAGAATGGTTTAGTTTCACAATTGGACCCAGTAGGTGGCGTTGTTGTCGAGACCCATCAATCACCCGTTCAAAGCCGAGGCCCATCGCTAGTAACTTTATACAATACGGGATGCAATAAGAAATTCTCTATTATCGTCCAATTTATTCTGTCTTCTTTATCTCAAAGTTAGGTACTTCTATTGTTAGTGTATACAATAAGCTTAAGATTAGTAAAAACTGTACATATTTTAGTTTTAAAATAGTTCTCTTTGTAGTTGTCTCTTTGAGCTGTTTAAATAAGTGTTTTTTTTTTTTTGTTTTTATATATTATCTCACAAAAACTACACGAAGATTTTTTCCATAACTATATTAAGTAAGTTTTTATTAAGATAATAAACATGGGCGAACAAAGAGCGCTGCGTGTATCAATTTTCCGTTATCGGATAACGCAACGCAACTGATATATTAAAGTTTTATTGGACTTGAAATGGCCTAGAATTGTGTTTCTGATGTAATGATAATCCTGGGATTAACTAGAATAAACGTTCGCTAGAATAACGCAATCAGAGTAGTAAGGACTTACGGATGAAGCGCTTAAATATATAAAAATACGATCTATATATAGTATATACCCTTCATATATAACAGTTTTTTTTTAAATATTGTATTTCTAAAAAGTTATTGGTAAACATTCAAATCTAGAACATATCTCAGCAGCGAGGCACACAAACCACTAATCCGTACGTCAGTAATATATAAATTTATTTACGACTTTTATGAAGGTATAGACATACAGTACTGCTTTTTCCGGGTAAGTTTTGTCCTAATGCAGTAAACGAGATTATATGGAGTTTTCTTGCTATGATTCTGTTTTATAACTTTCCGAAATGTATACCCGTTTCTTTTTATTTTTATACACTAGCCGCAGTAGTGGCCGCAACTTTGAAGTGGTAGAATCAAAAAATTATAGGGTAAATCGACAATGGAAGCGAATTCTTCTAAAATTTTAAATCCATTTATTTATATGCCAGTTCTTGACTACAGTCTCATCTGATGTTATGCGGTGATGAAATAATGAAGTCTTTAAATTTAAATTTTATTTTGTGTAACGTAAGAAGTTAAAATTTCATTAGTCAAACGTCATCAATAAATTTTAATACGCGAACATGATAGTGAATGGACCACAGTGTTCACTTATCATTATGTGAACTGTCTGATCGTTTGTTGTTGTTGTTTGTAACCTTTCTTCTATAAAAAGATGCGTTATCTCCTTCAAGAACTAAGAGAGATAATGTCTTTAGACTTCAGACCGGAAGGAACAGCACAGCCGTGCAGGCCATGCTGCTTGGCGGCAGAAACAGAAATAGCCTGCCCAGTCTCCTAGACAGGAAACAAGTCCTACAACGAATAAGTGAGGTGATCAGTAATGATAAATAGCATTAATATTACTCTTAAAGTAGCACTATAATTAAAATATAAACGCTCACTAACATTTTAACCCCGCGCATATATTTTTATGTTAAGTTTATAAGTATTCATGTCTCAAACTAAAATTTGATCAGCAAATTATTGTTTATGAAGCAAATAATACATGTACAGTAACATACGCAATTGCGTGGGGACTCGTAACGCCAATTGCGTCGTAATTTATTGCGTAACTTCCTTTGGGTTTCACTTTATACACGTTGTTTAGATATGATAACAAAATACATACTTCATGAATATTGCCATTAAATTTCAAGTTAAGCTTTGATAGTTAACTATGTTAATTAATTTGTTTGAATCATGAAGGGGTATATAACAGTAGTACTAAAACATAAAATTTTGTATAAGTGATATCAATATAATTAAATGAGAACATTATTAAGAATAACTCAAATACTGCTGGTCAGGTCTTGATCAAATTTATATGCGGCTGCATGAGAAGCACCAGCTTTCAAATAAAAAATCATCAAACTCAATTCACCTGGAACAAAGACCTGAGGTAACACGATAAAAAATAATAGTATATGCCAAATCGATTTAGAAAAACGGACAATGACCTCAGATATGAGCCGAGTGTCAAAAGGCGTAACTTACAAAATCTCAATTTAGATGTGATAACAATATTTAAAATAATAAATATTGATATTAATCACACTTCTAGGTCAGCACATATGTTTTTTTTTTTTGTTTCTTAAATAATATTGTCTGTGGTTCCTATAAACATCGTAAAATCTTACAATACATCGCAAAAAATGTGTTATATTTTATATTTCAATTTATTTTAATGTAACGCTCCCCCCCTCTATATAAAATAAATATATAAAATAGTAAATATATTATATTCCCCTTTAT